CGCGGAAAAGACACGGAATGTCCCGTGACACGGCACAGGTACCGTGACACGGCAGTATCCACCGTGACACGTTACAGTATACCGTGTCACCGTATGGGAGACGCGGAAATTACACGGAAACAGCTCCGTGTCACGGGGAATCCCACCGTCAGACGATGTAAATTCCCGTGGCACGGTGGAAAATGCCGTGACGCGGGAGTTGTTTAGGTACGAAGAACGCAAATAGGACACGGAATAGCCCCGCGTCACAGCAAGGGCACCGTGTCACGGGGATTCCCACCGTCAGACGGTGCAATTTCCCGTGACACGGTGGAATTGCACTGTGCGCGGTGATTCCAGGTTTTTACCTGTTTTTAAAACCATCATAACTTTTGATCCGTAACTCGGAATGAGGCATATAATATATCATTAGAAATCTTATCAAGTCTACTTTCCAACCCAATTAAAACCAAGTCAAAATAATATGTAGATTTTAAGATATATCCGTTTTAGTGGAAGGGTGTCGGTTTTAGGCCGAGTTTGGTGTTTTGCTCATATCTTTTTCGTTATAGTTCGGAATTGGGCTTATGATATATGGTTGTAAAGCTTATTTAAAGGCCTATCCAACAAAATAATAATTGGATCAAAATTTTATATCCATAAAATCAGTTTCTCTCAGTGGACACAAAAAGTGAAAAATAGGTTATGGTTTAGGGAAATGAGCTAGAAATTGGATTGGTTCATGAAATATATTGGATAGAACATGGATTTAAGCACTCCAAAGATTAAATACTCAAATCGACCAATAATGGCGGTGAAATGTGTTCATCAACGGGTTTGGTTTTGGGGAGACATTTTTAGGTGTCTACACCATCATTCGGATTAAAATTGAAATTTAATCAAATCAAAACTGAATTATTAATTCGGATCGGATCCGAACTTTAAATCGAATCGGATTGGATTGAATTTTTTTGAAAATTCTTACGTTCGAATTGGATGGGATTGACCTTGTTAACACATATTCTTGTTAACACATATTATTAATACAAATTCTTGCTCATACATATTATTAAACCACACAACGACATTCAATATCATTATTCTTACGTTTATAGCCCCGTAAACTCTAAACCTTAAACCCTAAATACAATGATAAGAAGCAATAGTTATCATATATACTATATATTAAAGGCGTCCCTTTTAAAGGGACGGTGCCACGTGACACTCTTCAATGTATATGATAACATATCACAATGCCACATCAGCGAAATGTAAGCTTGCGACTTCATTTAACAAAATTAATAAAATATGATTTTATCTAGATTTGAATCCTCAACCTCAAACAAATAAATGCTACACATTTACCATCTCAACCAACTTTTATTAGTGTTTTAAATTTCACATATTTAACATTATATATAAATATATATATATATATATATATATATATATATATATATATATATTCCTTTTAAATTAGAGGTTATTTAATTTATTTAGTTATTTTTTATAAGATTAGAAAATAAAAACATATGAATTAAAAAAAAAAAACCGTAACATCTGAGACAATGCCCAAATCACACACTAGCTATACAACAGTTGAACATAATTTTTAAATTAAAGAAGTACAAACAAGCAATCTGGAGCATCGTCCGGGACACACACTAGTTATGTATTACTGAGCGTCATTTTAATATTTAAGGAATCATGTTGTCGTTACATCATCATGGAATTCACTTGACATCAACATCAAATATTCAAATGTAGAAAATAATACAAATTTCGTTCACCAATGTGATTATACGTCCTGGTTTAGTTGGTCAATGCTTTCCTATTGTACACAACAGATCTGTGTTTGATACCTAACTATACCCATTTTTCTTATTTTTACGTAAAATCACATATCACCATAGATTCTCCTTAATAAACAACTGCTCTATATTCATTTTATTTTTATGTATCCAATTTAAATTAGACTTTTAAATACCAATTAACGGGTTTACAAAAAAAAGGTCAAAATAAAATAATTAGCCATAGATTCACCTGAATAAAATAATTTGAGGGTTTAAAAAAAAGGTCAAAATAACAATTTAAGAAATCATTTTTTCTTTACAAGAATCATGGAATTCATTTTACATCACAATAAAATGGTACAAAATACTAAATATTTAAAAAAGTACTGTTGATACCCCTGGCTCGGTTGGTCAATGCTTTCCTATTGTACAAAAGTGATCCGTGTTCGAAACCTTATTACTATACCAGAAGAAAAAAATCAACCAAATATAACCCATAAATTTGCCTGAAACGGTGTTATCTGAATATTTCTATAAATATTTATATAAAAACAAAACATAATACTTATATATTCAAATATTAAATGTGCCCAACTTACAATAAATGTATACCCATGTTCATGGATATGATTCCAGAAATAAAAAAACGATTATATGAATTCTCAAATGACTAATATAAATAGTTCATTTTAGTGGATGTTTTTGAATACTATGATGAATTTAATACATGTATGATTTCAAACCAAACTTAAATAAATGAAAACTACCTTAGTAATGGATGACATATAATTTATGTAAGTAATTAATACTTACAATTAACCTCTCTGTAGATACATATCTCCTACCTTATAAAAAGTATAAGATTACTCTTATAAATAGTGTGAAGTGTGATGCCATTTATACCCTTTAAAATGTGTATTTACACATATACCCTAATTAATTTGTACAATCTTTTGTAATAAATATTGTTGGGACAATTATACCATTTAAAATATTTAATGACTTATTTACCCTCATTAATGATAATTCTCTCTCTTCTTTTTTATAACTTTTAAAAATAGTGCGTGGACATTAATTCCCCTAAATACATTTGATTATATGTTTTCTTTCACTAAATCGACCAATAATTTAAATTGTGATGTATGGCCAAAGCGAAAAAGATTTTGGGTATGGATAGCATGACGTGCACATCGTGCGCGTTAACTACCATAATTATTAAAAAACTTACAGCTTAAACTCCGTGGTAATATATATAAAATTAACAGTTTTAAGTTACAAAATGAATAACACACTTTTTTTTTGAAATATAAACAACAGACTAGTATTAACATATCATATAAAAGAAATAATTACAATCTATAAAAGCAACTGATACATCGGTAAACTAATTCATTTACAAAGTGATGCACATAACAGAACAAGTATAGTACAAAACTTCTTGTTAATACATTTTATTAATACTTATTCTCCTTAACTAACATTATTAAACCAAACAACAACATACAATACCATTATCTTAACATTTATTGCTCAATAAAATTTTAACCCTAGACCATGTAACCTAAACCCTAAACCTAACCCTAACAACATTTATATACAATAGTAATTATCATAATATATTAATAACGTTCTATTAACATTTAAGGAATCATATTGTCTTTAATAGAATTATACAATTCATTTGACATAAATATAAATGGTACAAATTAATAAATAATACAATAACATATGTGTTGGTACCCCCTGGTGTAGTTGGTTAATGCTTTCCTATTGAATATAAGTAATCCGTGTTCAAATCCTAATTACACCGATTTTACTTATTCATATCTAACATAATACTTAGTTATTCAACTCGGAAACATTGGATGGATGTGGGGATCGATTAACATTGGATTGTTGAGAACTATTCTGAGAACTCATGACGATTTGTATGGGAACGCCTCTGCCAAAACTACGTAGGTTCAAAGTTGTTCTAGACTGTTGAAATATTTGACCACCGGGTCTTTGATTTAATCCTCTGTATGGGTTGTGCTGGTAAATGTTTCAAGGGTCAACTGATCCATAGTGGACTGGACCAGCGTAAACAGAGCAAAAATTACTAGTATGGTGCTGTGGATTCACTCCATAAAACTAGCTAGCATCACCAAACATACCATTATCAAAAGTATCATCCCAGAATAATTGTCGATCAATCTAACAAATTTCACTTTCCATTTCAATGCCACAGTGTCAAACACACTACTGTCTTTTATATCAGATGCTTAAATAAAATACTATGAAATAATATTTTAATTTATTATTGAAAAAATGGTCTTAAATACAACAAACAGATTATATAAAATAATTTATTATTGACAGCAAATAAACCTTGCTCGATTCCGTTTAACAATTGCTTCCATTACCATGGAACCCAGAAACATTTTTACAATTAAATAAAATTTCACAAGAAACAATTATAAAATAAACAAAACAAAAGCCAACATACAAATCAATCTGTTAATCTAAAAAATTTACCCTTTCAAATCAATCTTTATAAAACTTTTAATGTTTACCCAAAATCAATTTCTTCAAAATCAAACAATGAAAACCCTAAATTATCAAAATCATCCATTAAGAAATTTAAACGAAATAATTCAACAACAAACAAGATTATCAGCGAATACTTGTAACTAATTAATAAAACTGATATCCACACTTGAATAATTTCTTCGCAATTTGTTCCCTTATTTAAATTGGTTATGTTCTTCGCCAAAGAATTTTGGGGGAAAAGATAAAATTTTGGGGAAGAAGATGATAACTTAATTGTGTATCATCCATTAATTGATGCATTAATTGTTTGGCGCCCAATTAAATTTTTGCCGCTCACCTTCCTCACAATGGCGCTCAACTTGAAAATTTTGCCGCTCTTCTTTCCCTCTTATTTTTTGCCATTCCCTCTTCTTTAGAGGGGAAAATAATTTTAAAAGCAAGTACAAAAGATAATGAAAAGTGATGAACAAAATAGCCAAAACGCTTCACAAAACTTGCTATTTTGGGTAGTTCAGTGGATTGATACCATGAATCAACCCTTCATTTAATATTGCAGCTTTGGGAAGGAATATAAAGAGTTTCTTATTACAAAGTATTTACCATTTCTCAATAGAATTATAGAAGCCACCCCTAATTCGTAATTATTATTATGAAAAGGCACCAAAATTTTATCAATTTTCTCCTTCATGGTAGCCCAAATGAAATAAAAGTATATCCCATTGCCTATAAGAGTGCATAGCGGTAACTAACCTCCAAAATTATTTAAGTGTGCAAAATTTTAACATAATATTAATGTCATTAGTAATGCATAGCGGTACATGACACTTATTACATTAAGGGTACATCACGATGCATATTATAGATTTTTCGACAAATGAAATCCACAACATACGGTGTAGGAATGATGAAGCAAAAGACACTACAGGAACTCCCTTGGGTCAGTAACAAAACCAGTCAACGCAGATGCAGCTGCAGTGTAAGGAGACGCGAGATAAATCTGCCCTTCTTTGTTTCCCATTCGCCCAGGGAAGTTCCTATTTGTTGTTGACACGCACACCTGCATTCAGTATACTTTTAGTCAAAGGTAGGTCGAATGGGGAAACAACGGTTCTATCTCATAGATATGCATATTATTCACTTGAATTTACTCAAAACTTCCTAAAATATCTTTAACAATACAACAGGATCCCGCGAATTATTGAGAGTTATATGCACATAATGACTTAATAAGATCCCCAAATGTAGGAGAACAGTATGCGGCTGCAAGGTGTATGATAGGTTAGCACGTAGGAGAACTGTCTATCATGCAGTAATGAATAAGGATACAGCCATCAAAATCAGACAAGGACAGTCGTATTTGTCAAATAAGCACATGATTAATGACAATTACAGTTGTCATTATCAGCTAAAATTGTAATTTCTGCTAAAAAGCATGTGGTGATAATAATACAACTTGCTTAATTAGTGACCTACCGACTCATTACATTGTATATTAACCACAAGTCCACCACTAAATAAAAACATGTTAATTGATATCATCTTGAACTTTGAATCATTCACACAATATTCCATATCTATGTATGGAATTTTTCCCATAGTAAAACGACCTATGCCTCAAGGTTAATTGAATAATCACCTATACAGTGGAATCTTATGGAAACCCATCCCTATTATGCTGAATAAAAATTAATGAATAATGGTGGTTAACTGGATGTGAATCTAAGAGTTATGGCTGGTTTAAATCAAATATATAGTTACGTTTGGCCTTTAAAGTAATGCTTAGGATTGTATTGCACTAGCTTTTAGTTTCTGCACTTAAATTCTAATTTCAAAAAGCACTGAAAATTTGAAAAAGGTATGGTTGAGCACAATGGAAAGCTATTTTTAGAAGGCAGAATGTAGATTTAAGAGAAGACTGGTAACTGGTATCTGAAAAGAGATTGATGATACAAAATGATAGTAGGAGTATAGCTCAATCCTGTAATCCATGTACATAGGCCTGTCTTAGCTTGTTTTTGCATAGATCAAGTTATTTTTGCGAACTTAATTAATTTTTGTAGAAACTTTTTAAAATAAACCGAGAACAGAGCCTTAAGCAAGCAAGATGCAAGTATTTCCCTAGCGTACTTCCCTTGTTCACCCGCATGCCTCTCATTTTCTAGTTCCTTGTCTTACCTCCAATTTCAGCTCATGTTATTTTTAAGATCTTAGACAATAATCTTTTCTTAATGGGCTCTCAACTAGTCAGCCTGAAGTGAACAAGGATACAAGAGTTGGACAGCATTGGGTAAGTTACCTGTGCCTCATTCATTCGTGCGTAAGTGTCCCTAGGGCCACCAAGGCAAGCTCCACAACCTGGACTGCCTGGTGTATCACACCCAGCTTCTTCAAATATCTGAGCACAGGTCTTACCACCGGAACCAGGCACAGGAAGAGTGTATACATCCACCCAGACCTAAAGAGTTATCAAAGAGAATAGATCATTAGTCTATAAAATTTTAAGCTTTAAATGTTCAAATCCCTATGTGCACATAGTAAATAGAGGGCGGAAACAAACCTTCTGGGTGGCAGGTACCAGGAAAGTGGGGACTTTGACCTTCTTACCCTGTAGAAAAATCATAACACAGATAACAAAAATGAACTTTAGAATATACTTGACTGGAAAAGCAGCCACACATTCCAAATCCAAACATTTACAACCTGATCTTATCACCCCAGGCAACAAAAACGTATACGAACAATTTCATAGCACAGGTAACTCTCTATCTTCAGGTCAAGAGACACAAAGAATAAAAATGAGGGTGCTAGTCCAAGTGGTTAAGTTCTTATGCAACATAAATTCCAAGAGATTAGGCTATGTTCTTCTCAACTTTTTTTAGAAAAATGTTGATTCTTATTAGAATCAGACCACTCAGCCCTGATCGTAAAAACTCAAACCAGAACAAATTAGGTCTTCTGTGTTCTGTTATCTCAATGTGAAATATCTCTAATTCCATATTAACAAAGATTATGAGCATTAGATATTTAAAATCTATACATTAAGATGAATCTAATAAGATAACACACTAAGAAGATGTCAGATCAGACCCAAAAAAAATTCAGACCAGAGATCATAACACTTTATTTCACATAAACAGAACATAGCCCTACACAACATGAGCAACTGAGACAAATATCCATATGAGCTCAGGGAAATGAGATCCCGCAAAATAAGTCATTAAAACGAGAATATAAGAGTTTCAAATAATCAGCAATTCAGAGGCCATGAAGACTTACAGAAGCCATAAAGACTTTGGCTGCAGCTAGAAAATCTTCTGTCTTTCCACCGGTACAAGAACCAATGTATACTCTGTCAATTTTGACATCTTTACACTCTCTCGCTAAAGCACGGTTGTCTGGAGAGTGAGGCTGCAAATAATGTAAAGGATGTCAGTTGTCATTGATTCAATCCTTTAAAAAGATGTGGTCAACAAGACAAAACATCTAAATTAACATTCAATTGTATCATTTACCTTCGCAACAAGAGGTTCTAGCTTTGAGACGTCAAACCGGTACTCAGACATAAATCTAGAATCCAAAGAAATAGAAAACATCAGAGAGCTTAACGTAAACATAGGCATAAATCAGTTATACTCATTGATCACATATCAGCTGCATAAAGAAAGCTGCAATAGCATTTCTAAACAATAAGTAAATAAGAAAGAAAAAAATAAACAGAGTTTGGGGTTTCACAGCTTCAATTGGAATTTTATAACAAAATCTGAAGGCATGATCTTATCAATTACAAAGCTAAATTGCTAAAAAGTATAAGCAATAAAAGTACCTTGCTTGATCATCACTATACAGGGGATCGTAAGGAATAGAAGTCTTGCCCTGTACAAAATCCACACACTCATATGTAAGAAAGCAAATCTGTCCAAATAGCTTGATGAATCAACAAACATAAACTAATTCTCTGTAGCTTACTATTGATAGTATTAAATATATCATGATACCAGCACGTCAATTTTAAAGCAAACACATGAATGATCACTCTAGGAAATAACAGCCAAAGATTTAGCATACTACAGGAGATGAATAAAAATGTGTATTATAACCTATATGGCTAATTTAACAGCATGCAGAACAGGCAATGGAAGATACTAAAGAGTAAATGAGCTAGTCTTCTCAATATGCACCAAGCCATAGTTAAGGACCATAAAACTCCTTGAAAACTGGGCGGAAAACTAGGCTTTGGGGAAGACCAAAAACCAAATAATGCACAAACCTCGAGATATTTGCGTGTAGTATCATCAAAAGGAACAACCCCATTCTTTCCGCCTGCTTCAACAACCATATTGCAAAGGGTCATTCTTTCCTCCATCTGGGAGCACACAGATGCAATTGCGATATCAGGAAGTTGTAAAGCATCAAACAAAAAATACATACAAGATTACAAAATTTTTAGTCAACATATTTTTTGAAAATTAACTAATTTTAAACTTTAAAGAGTAACAATAGATAGCGTACACTCAAACTTTCAACAGTGGATCCAACAAATTCCATTGATTTGTAAGTTGCACCCGCCACTGATATTTCACCAATGATCTGCAAAATCAATCAAAAGTGGGAAAGAGGAATCAATATGCGATTACGGGGCTGAAATTACAGAGTCAATCAAGAACATGCTACACTTACTTGCAGGATCAAATCCTTTGCAAGCAGATAATCAGGCATTTCTCCATCCATTACAAATCTAAGAGTTGGTGGAACCTGCAACAATTATAAGTAGTCAAGTACAAAAGAAATTTAAACCGTAAAGAGGTGATGTATCAGAATGATAGCTGAACTTGAAGTTTAGAGTTTAATTTAACTTTATACACAGCTTCCAGAAAAAAAAAGAAAAAGAAAAAGAAAAAAAAAAATGTTACTTGCATATAGATAAAATATCATAACTCGGAAGAAACAAATGAACAAAGCAAGAATAAGTGTCCTATAGAGCAGACATTTGTGAAAAGAAAATAAAACTTAAAAATAAAAAAAATAAAAAAAAAATAAAAAAAACCAATTCTACTGAATTAAAAAATAGACCCAGGAAAGCCACATATGCTCTAACCCAAATCAAACATTAACTATTTCCCTCAAAAAAAAAAAAAAAAAAATCAAACATTAACTAGTAATTCCATCCAAAGCCTGTCAAATAAAAGAACAGCTTCAGGAAGTTGAGTAAACCAAATTCTCAACAAATACAAAACGGCATTTAGCACCACACGGAAGTAATTCTTCACTTGGTCACCCCAAACCCCCACAACGGGCAGTTGCAAAAACATTGCATTAAAAAGAAAAAAATTGTGAATCTCCAGCAAGGAAGACAACTCACCCAAATACATTAAGCAACTAGGCAATGGTAAAGGCATGGGCACAAGCCGCACAACATTCAACAAAAGCATGGAAGACTTCTAGCCTTATGACTGACCTCAAGTATGATTTTAGAGCCTAAGGTATCAAAGTCTGAAGCAAGAAGAAAACGTGGCTAGAAATTCAGGTAACTATAGGATATTGCAAACAGATTCATTCATAGCAATATAAGACCACTGACCAGCTTTATTTATATGGATGTATTAATGATAGTATGACAGAGACTCTACGGTAGCAAAGTGCATAGAAACTAGAAACTCCAAACATAGGAGATAATTGATGCTCCTTCACTACATTTGTGGTCAAATTATTTATGACAAACTTGATGATGACGAATCAAGCATAAGGTGAGACTGTTTCACAACACAGAAAAATAGAGGGGGAACATCATATAGTCCAGGCTCTAGGATTCCAAGCATGTCAAGCAAAGGTAAACCAAATATAAAGCAATTCAAACAGAGTTCAAGGTAAACCAAATATAAAGCAATTCAAAAATTTACAACCAGATTAAGTTGTGAATTCATCAATAAACAGATATACTTACTTAAGGACCTATAGTAAGGACACGAGTTTCGAACCTTTAATAGTATTTTACCAGTGCCCAAAACAAAACCAGCATCAGTATTGCCTATTCCAGTGGCAAATTGACCAAATGCTCCAGCATTACATGTATGAGAGTCGGTCCCTAACAAGACCTAAAATTAATAAGTATATGAGATGTTGCACCAAAAAACATATATATAAAGAAATTAATTATGTGAGACTTGTGGCCTCAGAGCAATTAATTGGAAAATAGCTAGTAGCAAAGTTGCCAGGACAGTATACCTCTCCAGGTCTGCAATGACCCTCTTGTGCAAGAGCTACATGGCATACACCTTTGTAGTCAGGATTAACCTGTACAGGTGACAGAATCATTAAAAATATAATCATTATGATTAGGAACCATTAATACTATCAACATACAACGTACCTTAAAGTCTGAAAGATCAGTTATATCATAAAAATATTTGATATTTTGCTCCTTCACAAAGTCTCTCAAGATATCAACATTCCGGTTGGCCCGTTCATCGCTTGTAAAAATATAGTGGTCGGGAATAATTACAACCTTTTCACGGTCCCATACCTTCAAATAACAAAGTACACGGAACAGTTCAAGGCTTGAGAGGAGAATAAAAGAGGCCATAGGTTCATGCAGACATATGCAAACAGCAATATAAAAAATCACTCAAATAAAATTTTGGACTAGCAAAGGGCTGCAGTCCGATTCAAAGTGCATTGTATATTATAATATCTTTCATTACCTCCCCCTCCCCTCTCCTCTCTTCTAAAGAAATATTAACTAATTGATTATTTTTGAAATGCATAGAGATCAATGAGAGAAACTTGAAACTGACAACATCAAGATAATTACAAGTTAGGCAGATAACAGTGCATTTGGTGTACAGAAAGCAGCATGCATGAACTCAAAATCACTTCAAATAAGCCAAGATATACGCAATTGCTAGTACATATAAAAAAATATCAAAAGTACAGGTGACCATATACTTAGGCTGGCTCAGGCAAAAATATGTGCTACTACATACAAAAATAACCCGGGATGCCTATTTGTGGATCACTCTCAATATACTAACCAGAAATATTCAACCATTCTATGTTATAGACTAACAATTCTGACTTGTATATTTTACTGATTAAGTGGAAATTTAAAGGGGAAAGCTTGGAAATTTGATTAAACAGATTAATGATTTCTTACAAAAGATAGTTGGTTTAGCCTACAAAGCTCATATTAGTGACTTGAGGTCACAACTCTCTCAAGGATCCACTCCGAAATTCTGCCCATCTTTTCTTTCCTCCTCTCTCTCTATTTATACTAAAGCTAAAGACTCTTACCTAATAATACTTAACTACCAATGTTCCCTTCCTTAAGTTGGTCAATTACATTCTAATCTGATTTTTTTTCCAACTAAAATCGGCCTATCACTAATCCTCCTGAAATGCTTGAGCACTTCATTCGTGTTTCTTTAAATCTCATCTCAGCTTGGTCAGGCCTGCTAGTCAGCACAGTAGGAAATATTCGTCATAGATATTAATCTACTTCAGTGGCTTCTCAACTTATCACCCTTTTGCATGCAGAAAATAATAGAACAAATCCCTCCTCTTTACCTCCATCATTTGAATATCCAGAAAAACCTCTAGCTAGAATGCTATATTCAAGAAATTAATTCATTCTACAAAAAAAATTCAAAAATGGTAGCACTCAAATTAAGAGGCATAATCCACAGCATTGAGTCAATAAAAGCATTTGGAACAACTACCATTCCAAATTACATCAAGGTATCAATGCCTCAATGAAGCATACGGACACTATTACACTTTACACCTCCCATTCTTTTATATGCTTATGCGCCGTAGTTAGTGTGTGTCGCCTAAGTACCATAATGAGCAATTAGCAAAATCCTACTTCCTCCTCCCGAAATAATTTAGTCACTTTTAATTAAAAAGCTGTCGAAAATTACTTGGGACACTTTTATAAATGAATAAACCCTCAATTTCTTTCATGCTTCTCACTCACTTTAGGACCATTGTACTTACTACTTTCTATAAAAGCACTAAAAAAAGTGTATTAAAAGGCGCACCTAGGTGCTTAGGGTAGAGAGCCTTTTTTTTCTCTAGGCGAGTCGCATTCAAAAAGGAGCCCTTGAGGCGCACATAGGCAAATTTCTTTAACTGTTATATTGTGTGCCTCACTTCAAAGAGGTGCACCGAAGCGGCGGGTGCAGCAGACCTTCATCACCTCAGTCCACCTTGAGCTTTTTTATACATTTTTAAAAATCTTGACCTCTCACTCACATCTTCAAAAAGTAAAGACACATTTTCCACTAACTACATTAAAAATAAAATTGAAGTGCCTAAGCATTGGGTTTAATTAGGGACAAAGCGAGTATAACAACTTGTAGGAAGCAATGAATGCCACTAGTTACTCAGCACTAATGACTATCCAAGAGCATCTTGGAAGCTTTTGTTGCCTCACAATATGCACACTGCATTAGTCTATTTTGAAGCCATTTTTTGCTTCATGGGAAACCAATTTCACATTCATATTATATTGTAAGTTCTGATAACAGAGATGAGTTTTCCAATCTGCTACCAAAAAATTCAATGATACAATGAAAATCCATCAAATGTCTGAGTATATAACAGAATATTCTCAGCCAAATGTTGATATAGGAAATTAGAAGAAACGGTGATAAGCATACTACAAGCTTATATGTCAAATCATAGTTAGGGGATTTTAGTTTTAATTGCTATATATCCAAAACCCAGGTTGCCTTCTACTGTATTTTATGACAAAACCACTCAAAAGATTTCTCTAATATACACCTTCATATGAGCAATACTCTGCTCCTGCCTTTAAAAGAAAAGAGTTAAAAACTCAAGAAAGGAATTTCTTGAGTTAGGGTTAGTAATATTTGTCAATATATAAAGTGATAAGCTGCCAATTACTGGAAGCTTTGGTAATGAGTAACTATCATACCAAATTTTCTAACTTCCACAATTGCATGCAATTAATGCCTATAAAATGCAAAGCCTATTTCCAAAGGCTGAGAAAATTTATTTAGTAAGGTTCAAATACAGGCTGAATAAAAGGGGGTTTAGGGTATGCAGTTCAATATCTTAAAGCAGGCAGTTTTTCCTTTGTGCCACAGATTAATAGTTTGCTCCTTTGCACTGCACAAATCTTAGTGCAAAGAATGAATGTGAATGTCGAGTTGAAGACATCTGCTATCAAGCCTCTGATCAGTTCCTCCTTACGATAATCACTCTTCAATTCAGCTCAACTATCCGTGTCAGATAGCACCCCAAATGGGTTATGGGCATATGGGTATGGAAATTTAGAGACACAGTTTTGGCCCAAACAGGAAATCTAATACTTTTCTTTAAATATACGAAAATAACAAAGGAAATTTTTCTTTTACATGTGTCCCAATCATAACTTTAGAAACTTGTAATCACAGACACGTGCACATTCTAGCTTTAGAAATTTCCACATCAAACTCTTGGATCATACCCAAGTCTATCACTCATATTCAATTCCAAGCATCTAAAGTTATCCTATAACATGGGATTGCTTTAATGTAAGTAAGATGAAAATGAGATCAGTGGAACACAAAGTGAATAATTTTACAGAATCAAAAGTGATATATTCCATTGGTTTTATTTAGCCTGGAGCATGGGATAATTTTAGCCCTCTAGGATCAAATCATTGCTTTCTATTGTCCTATAAAACAATGTGGTGAGGGTCATAGTGTCTGACCTATGTTTCTATTGTCCTATAATACAAAAACTCTTGAGGAATTAGGACATCAAATCGCAGAACTTGACCAAGGTATGTACAAGAGAGGCAAGAGTGCATGACAGATGACTACTAACCTTATAAAGGTTTTCTGCCAGAACCCAAAGATGTAAAGGATCCCAAGTCTCCAGTTAAGTTGGTTATTGTAATTGTTATTGTTTAAAACTTGTACTTGATATATTCACACACGTCTCTAATTCTCTAGGATCCAAGAAAAATCGACTCTTTCTACTAGGCAAGGATGATAGAAACAATTTGATAACTTGGTTGAGTCTTTACCCCATGAATGCACATTTTCACATAAAAACAGGCTTAATAATGAAAAGAAAAAACCAGAAAATATCAATAAACAATCACCAAAGATTAACACTTCTACTATTAAAAGTAATACCTTGGCATTCTTTCCAAATTCCTTCTTGAAGATACCAAAGGAGCCAGGTCCACAAACATCATGGGTCATCAAAATATCAACATTAACCCACACATTATCACCTGGGGTTAGCTGAGATCTCTCAGAAGACCTAGCCAATATCTTCTCAGTCATTGTCATCCCATGTTTCACCTAAATAACCAAATTGAAACCAATAATCAACTCAATCCTCCACTCTATTAAAGAAGAGTCAAATAAAAATGAATAACAACACAAATAAACAATACATAATCAATATGGATGCTGATGAGCTTAGTTGGTTAAAGTTGAGTGGTACCCAAGACATAAAACCAAATTAAAACCAATATTCAACTCAATCCTCCACTCTATTAAAGAAGAGTCAATTAAAAATGAACAACAACACAAACAAACAATATAAAAATCAACATGGAATTATGGATGTTGACGAGCTTAGTTGGTTAAACTCAGGTCGTACCCAAGACATAAGATCAAATCCCGTCTAAATTATTCTGCGCACACACACAATGACACAATACAAAACAAACCAAACCAAATAAATAAATATGGGGTTTTTGATATGAAACCAACCGAGCCAGTTTCAGAAGGATTTCTCTGAGTCTGTTGAGGAGCCATGACTGAAACTATCTTTTTTGATTTCACCATTTCAGACCCATCTTTGAGCCAGGGCAACAAGGGCGGCGGCGCTGAGCGCAGAGAGAAAACATCCATTTTCATAGTTTCTTCCTAACAATTCAAGGGTTTTACAACACATTAGCAATCAATTTAGACCCAATTATCAAATTAAATTCTTCTAGCTTAAGAATATAAAGAACAACAATCTTTCAGTGATGAAATAAATTATACCCAATAGTTCATTAATCAATCCACCTTATAAGAACCCTGAATTGAATTAATTGTTAATACTAGATTATGAAAATGAAATTCGATGATTAAGAAAAACCATCTTACCTAAGGTTGAATAGAAGAGAAAAAGCTTCAATGGAGAAATGGAAAATGCGAAGTAGCCGCCTCAATGGAGAATGAAACAAGAAGAGGAAGGGCACGTGATAAGCTTCAATATCTTTCCAACTTAGTTTAAGCTAGGGCTGTTGACCAACCAACCCAGACCAAACACTACATAATTAATGTAATCCGTTCGTCTTTTAATGTTGTCTCCATTTCATAATAATTTTCTCATTACTTAGATATTAATATCTGTTATTAGTTTAGATAGTGTGTTGTGTACGGTATTGATTATTGAGTCTCACAAAGATTTATATTGACATATAATGAATTATTAAAAGGAAAAATTGATTTTAATGATTCCACCTTTAGCCGGTTTGCTATTAATAATCTCACCTTTGCATTATTTGTTAATAATCCCACCTTTATATAACATTCTCTTTTATTGGTCCCTAACTTGTTGGTAACCGGTTTTAATAGGTTATAATGCTACGTGTCAATTTGTTATTGGTTAGAAAAAAAATTAATTAAAAACAAGAAAAAACTAAAAAATATTAAATAAAAAAACAAAAAACAAAAGAAAAAAGAAAAACCAAGTCATTCCCAAATTCCCCGACGCCACCCAACCCCCACCCTAATTAACGCTGCCCCTCCTCTCCTCACCACGGCTGGGTGACAAAAACAACTTTCGATAGACTGGTGTGACGTGGACACTTCGCCTGGCTGTGCGATTGGATGTTGCTTCGGCTAGAGACGGTTGTTGGAACGTATAATAGTTTCACGGATGATGTAGCTGGGCTTTCGGTCTGCGTGCGTCGGCCGGCGCTGCTTAGGTTGCTTCGGCCTGACCACGGTGGCAGGCTGTTGTGGTGGCTGCGTATCTAGCTGCCACAGTGGCAGTAACGTGGGTAGGCAGCAGCTCAGTCACGGTTTCGTATTGTTTAAATTCAAATTAATTAGTCGCAATGGGGTAGTTTTAGGGGAAGATGAGTGGGAATTGGAGTGGTTTTAGGGGAAGGGAAGGCACTTTTCGATGAGTGGGTGGTGGGGAGGGCCGACAGGCGGTTTCCGGTTATGGAGGTGGGGGCTGCCGGAAGGTCAGTTAACGGAAAGGGCGGTGTTGTGAGGGTTGGTTGCCTGGGTTCTATTGCATTTTTTTATTTTTTTGTAATTTTCTTTTAATTTTTTGACCAAATCACTTTGTGACACGTGTTACTTAATTTTTTCCAAAAAAAATAACCTAATGTATAGGTTACCGGTCACAAAGGACCAATAGAAGAGAATGCCTTATAAAGGTGGGATTATTAGATAATAATTCAAAGGTGGGATTATTCATAGCGAACCGACGAAAGGTGGGATTATTAGAATCAATTTTTCCTTATTAAAATATGGAGTATAAAGATAATCTACCAAAAAAAAAAGTACAAATATTGTAAATGATGAGTACAAAATTAAATAAATTATGTCATACGACACTTGACTTTGGTCGGTACATAGTATAATGATATTTAAGTTTTTACATGGATGCACGAGACATTGCAAAATACTATCATTAAGGTAATCGGTGTTTGCAAAATATCCTTAGCTAGAGGGAAAGGAAAGAGGAAAATCAATGACATGTTTCATGATAATAAGAACAAAAGGCCTAGGGCAGTCGAGAATGAGGAAGATGAACCTAGATACAATGCTGATAGGCGTGAGATTTACCTTGACACTAAAAACAAGGCTATCCTTGTGAAGTCGGATCCAAAGAACGCGTCAATGGAGAAACTGAGAAGTGTGGGCATACAACTAGAAATTGTTGTGAGCTTAAGAGAGCCTTAGGGAGCTGGCGGATGAAGGGAAGCTCAACCTGAAGAAATACACCCAAGTGTAGGGAGTAATACCTACTGCCTACTCCCCTTCCCTATGTAACTACTAGCCTATTATCAGCTTTAAAAAAAATATATTGTATAATATAGTCTATCTTTTATCTCTCCTCATGTAAAGAATTTTTTGCCAATTACAACCATTTAAAAAAATTGTAAATTGCAGTCCAAAAGTTCTTATAAATTGTAAATTGCAGCCCGATTCAACTTTTTCATCAGTTTACGTGTTGAAAAATATTCGGTTAAGGTTTTAGGGGTCATTTTAGTCATTAAGGTTCCAAATTGAGCTCGAAATTAGCAAAAAATATAACGTAAGTGACTCGTTTTGCGTAGCAAAAATGTATCAATTTGTGGGTAACTTTTTTTTATTTAAAAACGAGGCACTTACATTAATTTTTTGCTAATTCCAAGAGCTAAAATAACACCTAAAACCTTAACCGAATATTTTTTTCGACAGCTAAACCGATGAAATAGTTGAATCGGATTGCAATTTACAATTTATAAGAACTTTTGGGCTGCAATTTGCAAACTACTAATTTTAAATCTGCAATTTGCAAATTTTTCTCAAATAAATGTCGTATTTATAAAAAAAAAATAAGAAAATTATACCATAACCTTGGGTGTTTAAGTGATTTTCTAATGTAACCTTAACTTTTGCACTACTTCTTGAGGTAACCCTAAACTTGCAAAACATCATCAAATTGGATGAAAAGGTCACCGTTAATAGTTAAAACATATATATATGTAAAATGAAATTTATATAAAAAAAAAATACTCCAAGTTTGTATTAGAAAAATGAAGGAAGGGTTAGGAAGATTAAAATGAGTTATTTATCTTCTTTATCTTTTCATTTGAACCATTTTAGTTTTAAGGGTGAGTCCCAATTTCTCTTATTGATTAACAAAAGTGTATTTTAAAATGGCACAATAGTAAATATAAGAAATTGTAGTATAGATATTTTAATTATTTTTGTGGTAATTTTTAATCGAGAACCTATTGCGTGCAGATGTCCGCACAAAATAATTCATGTGGACAGGCTACTAAACAAAAGCCCAAAATGAACGCGGGTTTAAAACCCGATTTCAAAATAGAAGCTCAAAATTAGGTCACCCAAAATACTCCGTGTTACATAAGATCGATCGAGAAATTTCAAATTTTTGTTTCACAAAATCGAAGAAAAAAAAAAGGAAAACACGATCGTGTGATTTCGAAATTTAAAACAATGGAAGCAGAAAATCAAAAAGAAAAATCAATTAATTATCAAAATGAAGAACTTGATCAGCAAAACGAACCGAATTTTCAACAATTTGATTTAAATCAAGGAAAAGACAATTCAAATTCACCTAATTAATCTACAATCACGTTGGAAAATCCTAGTAATTTTATTTTTATTACTTTATTAATCTTTCTACGATTTTTAAGTGTTAAAATTGATCTAATTATATGTATTTTGTAATACAGAAGAAAAAAAAAATCAGAAACAAACGAAACAAATTATGACAAACAAGATGATACTGGAGAGTTTGATTATAACAATATTAGGTGATATGTTTAAATTATAGGCTGATATATATTTTGCGTTGCCGATTGTGTATTTTGTGTTGGTTAAAATGTTTCATGTGTTTTATGAATCTATTATTATTTACTTTGTTATCAATGTTTGCTTATATGAAATTATTATTGTATGTTATGATATTGTTGTTGGCTTATATGTATTTGGCTAATATCATTTTTCCTTGGCTTATATGAACTATTGTTGGCTTATGTTGATCTAATTCTGGCTTTTGTGTTGGCTATGTAGGCTGATATATATTTTGCGTTGGTTGTTGTGTATTTTGTGTTGGTTAATATGTTTCATGTGTTATATGAATCTATTGTTGTTTACTTTGTTATCTATGTTTGCTTATATGAAATTATTGTTGTCTACTATGATTTTGCTGTTGGCTTATATGTATTTATTGATGGTCACATGACTTTTAATTTGGATAATATCATTTTTTCCTTGGCTTATATTAATCCATTGTTAGCTTATGTGAATCTAATTTTGGCTTATGTGTTGTCTACGTTGGCTATTATGATTCTAAAATTGTCTTATATAAATCTATTGTTGGCTTATGTGAATCCGAATATGAATTCTATATTATTAGTGTTGGCATATACTATATTATTAGTGTTGGCATATATAATACTTATAACAATAATTTGTTGTTGTTTCTATTGACTATTAATATCTGATATGTTTTTGTTATTGGCTTATGTATTTCATTTATTATCTTATATGTTTTTCTTGTTTATTATATTCTTTATACATTAACTATCATGCGTTACAAATTTACTTTGTTGCAGATTTGAATTATTTCAAGTATATGGTGATAAATACATAAATTTGTCTTTGATGGGAAGAATGGTTGAAATTCATAAAGGTGAATATCATTTATACAAAGCTCATTCTAGAGCAGTTAGATTTAGTGTAAGAAAAAGTACACTAAAAAGAAATAATGGTAAACCATTTGATTTTTACTTTTGTTGCTCAAAGGAGGGATCTACAGATGAAAAAAGACAGGATAAGGATAAAGAAATTATATTTGTTGGTGAAATGCCTTCAAAAATTGAAGGACAATCAAAAATGAAGAGGAAAAAAAGAAGTGTCTATGAGACTAGAAATGGTTGTAAAGCCCAGATTCAAGGTAAAAGAAAATGGAGAAAATTGTGTTATTCAACATAACATAGAACACAATCATGATTTTGTTCCATCGACAGAATGACATCATATGAAATCTGAAAGAAATATAAAGGAAGAAATAGAAAAAGTGATTGAAAAAATGATTGAAAGTGGTATAAAGCCAATGGATATATATCAATTTCTATCAAATGAGGCTGGATCAGAAAAGGCTTTTGGGATACACAAAGAGAGATCGATCTGTTAAATTATGTGACTAGATATAAAGAAGATATGATTGAAGGTGGAGATATGCAAAGTGTTTTGGATACACACTAAGAAATAGCAGATTATGATTCCTCATTCTTTTATCGATTGAAATTTAGTGAATATGATCAAATTGTAAGTTATTTTTGGCGTGATTCAATGATGCTGCTAGAAGATTACAAAGCCTTTGGTGATGTAGTTGTATTTGATACAACTTATAGGACAAATAAATATGGTTTAACCTGTGCACCAATAGTGTGGGTAGACAACCATTGGAGAACAACTATGTTTGGTTGTGCATTTATCACTGATGAAACAACCGCTACATTTGAATGGATTCTTGAAACATTCAAAAAGTCAATAGAAAGATCAGAGCCAAATATAATATTTACAACTCAAGATCAAGCAATGAGTAATG